CAACCCCAGAGATAAGGGTAATCAGCTTCCCTGAAGCACCCAGGCTATGTGGGGAAGAGGTAGTTATGGAATAAGAATGTAAGAAATAATAGGAAGAGGGAAGTAGATGTTGTGTAGGCAGCTTGTTAGTGTCCAGTATACATCTGCACCTGAGGAACATAGAAAAGAAAGGAGAAGGGATATTTACAGAAGGGTTGAGACCCACTTGCTGGGTGATAGTAAACGATATCTTTGTTCAGATAATACTTTGAGATCCAACTTGATCCCAGATTCTTCTTGTATGAACAAGCTGGGTTTATCTGATTATATTTCCCAGAATGGCCATTACAATATCTCCCATCCCATGAGCTCTTTTTGGATTGTGACTTTGACACACTTCCCATTAATAAGTGGGGTCTATGTTCCCTCCTCTTGAATCAAGGTGAAAATAATGTTATGTTGACTTCCATGCCAAGGTCATAAATGATGATATAACTTCTACTTAGTTCTCTCTGGGGACATTTGCTTTCAGAACTGAGCCTCCATACTCTGAGGAAGTCCAAGCAGCCCATGGAGAGGCACATGGAGGAACCAAGCCTCCTGGTTCACAGACCTAACCTAACTTCCAGCCAACCTCTGGCACCAACTTGCCGGGTATGTGAATGAACCATCTTAAAAATGGATCTTTAACACCCTGCTGATCCACCCTAGATGGTATCACATGGAGCAGGGACAAGCTTTCCCTAAAGATCCTTGCAAGAATTTCAGATTTTTAAGCAAACTAAACCAAACGCTTCATGTTCTTTAAGGCCACGAAATTTTGTTGTTGTGTTACACAGCAATGAATAACTGATACAGAAAACAAATGATAAATGACTGTATAGCCAGATCAAGCTTGTCATTCCATCCATCCCTAGCTACATACATTAAGATAGAAAACACGCAGCCATGACTATCTTTTAACACTTTATTATGTAAAATTTCAAACATATATAAATGTGCCCATCACCGAGTTTCAACAGTTGTCACCATTCTGTGATTTGTGTGATTCTTTGGGTTAAATCAACATAACATTAATTTCATCTAGATTATATGTTTCCCCATTTTCCACCTGATCTCTATTATAATATTTTAGGTAAAATCTACATGAATTCAAACGCACAAATCCTAGTTGTATAATTCTGACAATGGATATACTTAAATCTCAGTCATTTTCCAACTCCCCAGAAAGTTCCCTCGTGTAGCCTTCCAGTTAAGCCTTCTGTATCAGTCAGGATCCAGTTAGGAGACAGAAATCACACCAGTAATTTGAATAAAGAATATTTATTCTATTTTAATAACTAAATTCTAATAAATAATTTAATTCAAAGTTGTTCATATTAACAATGATTTTAAATTAATAATAATTAACATGTTAAAGAAAACAGGAAATGATAGACAAAAAGGATGAAAAGATGCAGGATTTTAATTGGAATGTATAAAAAATCAAATGGACATTCTAGAACTGAAAAATGCACTATCTGAAATTAAGAACTCATTTGATATACTTAATAGTAGACTAGACTCAGCTTAAAACAGAATCTGTAAACTTGAAGACAATCAATGAAAACTATCCAAACTTAAGTACAGAGGGAAAAGAGAATGGGGGAAAAACAGAAAAGAAAAGAGGCATAGGACCCAGTTAAAAAAAAAGAAAAAGCTAACATATTTATGACGGGAGTCCCAGAAGGAGAAGAGAGAATTAGGTAGAAGCAAAATTTGAAAATGATCAAGAATTCTCTAAAACAGATGAAAAATATGAATCAACTGATTAAGTAAGCCCAGTGAATCAAGCAGGATTAAAAGAAAAAAAAATCAGCCTCTATTCAAAAGTTGGCAGGGAAATGATATCCTAAGGAGACAGCCAGGTTTTATTCAGAACAGGTAGGTGGAGTTCAGAAGAGGTTAAATATACATGGAAATCTGTGATGAAAGATAATGTATTCCAAAACTTGCAGAAGATGGGTTTTAGAAGAGTTCTAGGCATGGAAAATTGGATCAGGTGAATAGATGCAAAGAAAACAGGTAACCAGGTTAAGGTGGGTATGTGACACTCTCTTGCACCTGCTGGTAATATGGTAGCAGAGATGAGTGAAGGACTCCTCAGAATAATAGTCTTAGGCAGTAGGGAGCACTTCTAAGGGCTTCCTTTCTCTGGGGGCAAATCAGGGTGGTAGGCTGGTGTGGAAGAGGTGCTCTCATCCAGAGGAGGAACCAGGGGTGCCTCCAGCAGCTGGGCAGTTTTATGGCAAGTGGAGAGGAAGGCGAGGTGAGGTTACAACTTCTCTGATCCTCAACTCAAGTCCACTTGTGCTACCTGTTCCATGGCCAACTTGGACATAGCTATGACTCAGAATGGCTTCAAACTGAATCATAAATACAGTCAGCCCTCTGTATCTGCAGCTTCTTTATTCAACCAAATGTGGGTCCAAAATGACTGGGAAAAAATTCCATTGTTTCAAAAAGCAAAACTTTAATTTTCTATGTGGAGGCAATTATTTACATGGCATTTATACTGGATTAGGTACTATAAGTGATCTAGAGATGATTTATTTAGAGGTGATTTATACAGTAAGATGGAAGTAGGTTGTATGTAAATACCGTGTATGCATAGATTTTAGTATCCATGGGGGTCCTGGAACCAAAGCTGAGGATACTGAGGGATGACTGTATTACATCCTTTGAAGAGGCTCAGTCTTCTTCCCCAGCTCTGCGTGTGAGGACAGTTTCACCCCTCCAGGCCTACTTGCATTGATAATAGTACAAAAATGGTTTCAAAAAGGAAAAATCGATGATCCAGATTTTTCAGGTTCTCCCCATGGAAACTAAAATTCATTTTCTTTATAAAAGTTTAAAATTGTGCACTATGAAGTCAGTCATGTGTTAATATATCTAACCAAGAAAAACGTTTAATAGAAAAAAAAAAGATGACTCTGAGAGATAATTGTGCAAACATTCTACTTTCTGGCCCCTACCTCCTACTTTTCCAGCTCCCTCACTCAAATACTTCCTCTACCCTTTTTCATTCACCTCTTACAAACTTCCACTTTCTACCCACATATCAGTATTATTTCTTGTTCTCATATCCCACGCAGTCCTTAGAGTCCTAGGCCCATCACTTTAGGCACTCTCAAAAGCTTAGCTCCCTCCCCACTGCCCTTTCATTATACATGTGTGGCAAACTCCTATCCTGGATGAAATCAACTCTTATTTGTGTACTTAGGTCTGATTTACTGAGTGCTGCTTGAGAAAATCATTCTACTGGGAAGATAAGTAGCAAGCTTTCTACACATTTTCAAATATAATTGTATAGAGGTAAAACATGAATGAAACTCATCATAAAAAAAATTAAAACCATACAGATGTGTATGGAGTAAAAGATTACAGTTCTCCCCTAAAGCTATCCCCCAAAACATTTGCTGTTAATAGTTTGCCATGTATTCTATGCATGTATTATTGTCTTATACACATATATACACATATAAAAACACACTTATACACAAATACACATATCCATACAAATATGAATTCAGATAAGTAGCTAGATTTTAGTAGACACTTTTGTTAGGTAATTTGCATTTTTGTCTTAAGGCACAGGTATATACTGTTCTACATAATCTCCCATTCCCTTATTTACTATGTTCACTATGTGACAATGTTACAATGAATATACTTGTACATCCTTCTGGTTACATGAGCAAGTATGTCTCTAAAGTGGATCCTCAGAAGTGGAAATGCTTGGTTTAAGGATATTCATATTTAACATTTTAATAAATATTTGAAAACTACCATCCCAAAAGGAGGGGGCTGTACTGAATTGCCCGCCCCCCCCCCCCCCCACTTGCGTAGGAGAGTTACTCCCCGAGCTGGGCTCTCAACACTGCCTTACCCTTCTTCTTTCCTTCCCTGGACTGCTAATTCTCCCTCCCTGTCTGAATAACTTAACTACTCAAAACCCCTTCTACAACCGCCATCTCCTCCCAAACATCCTCATTCTTGAAAAACATTTCACCTCATATTTGTAGAGAAAATGGAAGTCACCAGAAGATAATTTTATTGGCTTCCTAACTCGGACATGAGTTTGAGTAAACTCCGGGAGTTGGTGATGGACAGGGAGGCCTGGCGTGCTGCGATTCATGAGGTCGCAAAGAGTCGGACACGACTGAGCGACTGAACTGAACTCAGAGCCTACAAAGCCTATCCACCCCTTGTCCTTCTTCCTTCCTGTTACAAGGTGGGTGGGGAAGGACAGTCTTTCCTCCCATTTAAGTCTTGGTTGTGTGGATCTTCCTTTCACACAAATGGCTGACTACCTTCTGGGTCGGGAAGATCCCCTGGAGAAGGAAATGGCAACTCACTCCAGTATTCTTGCCTGGAAAACCCCATGGACAGAGGAACCTGGTGGGCTACAGTCCGTGGAGTCACAAAAAGTCGGACACGACTGTGTGACTTCACTCACCTTCTATCTAAAGATCTCAGTTTCCACTCCTCAGCTAACCTCAATCTATTTTCTGCCTTCATCACTCCATTGAAAACCCACACTTAATTTTGGGCAAAATCCACCACAACTTTTCAAGTCTTTATCTTAGGTGACACTATTGCCCACTTTCTTCATAAAGCCACACTCTCCTACTTTTCTTTCTCTATCTCCAAGGCATTTCATTCTCACTCCTCTGGCCCTTAGCTCCTCTTGTCCAAACCTTAAAAGCTGGAGTTTGGGGTTTCTGTCCTGAGGCCTTTCCCCCTTTCTCCTTGGGAGATGTCACTCATTCCCACCCCCCTCCCCTTTCAGCCACCACCGCCCCTCTGTCTTCAACTCTGACGTGTGTTCAGCCCAGACCGCCGTCCTGTCCAAAGCTGACTTCATCTCTCCCCTTTCCGCTCCCCTTAACCTCCTCTCTTCGCCAAATTCCAGTCCCTCCTCTGGGAGTTCTCTGCCCATTCTTCCCTCTTCTAACTCCGCCGCCACGTGGCTCCAGTACCTCGCAGACCTGAGGAACGTAGTTCTCCTTGAAGTATTTCCTCAGCCTGGGGCTGGCCCGGCGCAGCGAGGCCATGGCCTGAGGCCCTACTGAAACGCTGCGCTGCTCGCTGGCCTTCCCCAAGGCCGGAGCAGCAGGGCCACTCCGGAGCGAGGGGCTAGCGCGTCCCGGCGTTGCCACGGCAACCGCGCGATGTGGAAGGCGGGGCTAGGCATTGCGTCGCCTCGCGCCCTCAGTGGCCTGCCGGGAAGAGAGGCGGGCCTCGGGCCGGGGCAGGGACCCGCCTCCGGGCGTCCGGGGCGGCCCCCGGCCTGTGCTCTTGGGGCGTGCAGTGCTTGCAGCGCTTCACCCGGTCTAGCTCGCCTCCAGCCGTGCCCCGCCCATTCTCCAGGAAGCCGCCAGGAAGCTTACGGGCTGAGTGGACTCTTTCACTTTTCAGCGGGGCGGTTTCTGAGAGGCGGAGCTCAGCCGCCCATTTCCTTTCTCCAGCGGCGTAATCCCAGGCGGCGGCGCCTGGACCCGCTGGCTTCGGACACTCCCGCGCTGGGCCCAGCGCTGTGCGCGGCCCCAGAGGTAGCATGGGCGGCGCCCGGGACGTGGGCTGGGTGGCGGCGGGCCTGGTCCTCGCGGCCGGCGCCTGCTACTGCTTCTACAAGCTGACGCGGGGCCGGAGACGAGGCGGCCGCAGGCTTCGGCTGCGCCCCTCGCGGTCCGCAGGTGAGGCCACGGGATCCCTGGCAGGTGGCGGGGACTGGGACTGGGGCTTTCCCTGGATGAGGGGTTGAAAAAGCTTCCAGTCATTGTGTGTGATCCTTTAATGTGTTTGCTTGGAAGCTCTTGGCTTCCCTGCTGCTGCTGTTGCTAAGTCGCTTCAGTCGTGTCCGACTCTGTGCGACCTCACAGACGGCAGCCTATCAGGCTTCTCTGTCCCTGGGATTCTCCAGGCAAGAATACTGGAGTGGGTTGCCATTTCCTTCTCCAATGCATGCATGCACGCTAAGTCGCTTCAGTCGTGTCCGACTCTGTGCGACGCCATGGACAGCCGCCCACGAGGCTCCTCTGTCCACGGAATTCTCCAGGCAAGAGTACTGGAGTGGGTTGCCGTTTCCTTCTCTATGGCTTCCCTGTTCTGGGAGTAAATAAGAACCCCAGCTAGGGAGGGAGGCTGGTGAGAAAGGCGAGGTCGGAAAGCCCAGGTGCAAAAGGTGGATCTTCCTCTTAATTGGATGAGTGTAGGGTTCGGTTCCCTACCTTCATTTCTTTTTTTCAAAATACCAGGATGGAAAATTGCTGTAACTGTCTCGCCCAAGTCTGGTGGCACAGCGGAGGATTAAGTTTCCCAGAAGTGTGTTGATTGCGTTTCGCGTTAAATCTTGCTCCTGACCTTCTTGTTACCAGAGTTTCTCCTGAGTGTGCATCGGGTGTTGCCCGGCCTGCAGCGATAGGTGCAATTCTGCATGCGGTTAGCCTGGAAGAAGGGACACCTGAGGGGCAGCTCTGAGAGGAGGTACTTTGAAGTCACCGTGGTCTATGTATTAGCAAAGTTTACGAGACAGGAGATACAGATATAGCTATGTATATCAAATTAGAACTTGTCTGCATGCAGGACAACCCTCTTGGTGGACAAGTGCATGATTAAGTTTGGGTCCAAAAGTTGATTGGTCCTTTCAAGATTCTAACAATTTGCTCATGTTCTGAGGGGATATTTCAGGTCATGGGAGTTGTTACAGAAATTATTAAAAAATAAAATCTGCCAACCAAGAAATTCCTCTCTACAAATGTGGGAAAGAACTAAATAGTTTTATTATCAAATAAGCATTTAACCAGATGGCTATGTGCATTACGAGCAGTCTGCTAGTGAATTCTCACTGAATTCTCACCGCTTTTAGTATCTATGCAGGTGCAACCTATTTCATATTATGTACGTACCCTCATGATAATCAGTAATTTGTCCTTAAGAGGACTTAACTGAACCATTTGGTACACATGGTTCGCTCTAAATTCACTGGTAGTGAGATGGTGTTTGTGTTAATTACTCTTATATAAAAGGAAAAAATTGTCAGTGTCTTTATAACCATGTAGTCTCAACATAGAACTAAGTACCAAGCTCAGACTCAAACGGATAAGGAGATGGGGACTCCTTCCTTGATTTTTACACTTCAAACAGATGACATCAAAGTCACTGAGAAAGACTTCTTAAGGTTGTAAACCAGCAAGAGGCTTAGCTTTCTAAAAGATGTACATTCATACTAAAAGGACAAAGGAGTTACAGTTAGAAGTTTGCTCAAGGAAATCTTCACAAAAAAGGGAGTAGGAAAAGGTTCCTTTCCCTTCTGGCACAAGGGGAAGAGAATCCATTTTTTAAAAGATTTGTACTTATTCTTGCTGCCAAAGTTTAATTTGTTGTCTTTGTGTCAAAGATATTTCTGTGTAAGTGTTTAGTCAGGTGACCTGAACCCAGATACCTACTAACTTATACTTACTGAAAAAGATGAAACTGACAAAGTCTTACTACTTCCCCAAATCATCATTACCATGGTCAGACAGCTTATAAAATAAGTTGTTCACAGTCCCTTCTGTTGGTCATTTATTGGACCGGAACCTGGTGGTCCGGAGTCGACTATGAGAGAGTGAAAGAAGCAAAGAGGCTAATATTCCCTGGGTTACGCAACCAACTTTTGTGCTCCAGGGAATCAGCCAGAAATAGAGAGAGAAAGAAAGAAAGACACAGGGACCCAAGCTCTGATGGAGCAAAGGTGTTTTAATCAACATGGTGTGGGCATATATACTGTCTTACAAGGTAGTTATTCTCAGCAAAGATAAAGATTAAAATTCCTGACTTAAAAAACATAAGGTGATCCATGTTAAAGAGAGAGAGTTGTAAACAATCACTTTTACCATATGGTTCATAAGAAGGAAGAGGGTACTTACCACTGTACTGATAAACTAATGAAGGAGATGCCTGGATTCCTCAGCTTACCTTTCCTCTTAACTCCTGAATATTCAGGAATTAATAAGGAACAGAGGATTCCTGACAGATCCAAAACAGCACACAGGAAGCCTCCTGTTAAATGCTTCCTGACAATTCCCACTATTTTATTATATTTGTAAAAAAAAAAAAGGTCCTGATCAATTGAGTCTGGTTAGTATTAACCAACCTTGTAGAAAGGTGACAATAAACAACAAATACAATTATCAAGACGGTCACCAAAGTTACAGTTCCAGACCCGATGCTGTGGGTAATACTTTGAAACCATCCTCGTGGGTCTGGCCCGGATAATTTGTTCAGCTAAAGTTTCCAAATTAGTGAGAGAGGGCAGATATTTAGAAGAAGTTTCAAAGATTTCCTTTTGCAGTAATTGTACATTCAGAGAGTCATTATCATGTAAATGAAATTTGATTTGTTCCCAGTTGTAGGTATTATGATTGAAATGAACAGGGGTAACACAAAATTGGCAGTTAATACAAGTTACAGGACGGAAAGTCTTATTAAATTGTAAATTTCCTATGGCTATAACAAAAGGAACTGGGACACAGGCCTGTATAAAATATGACTGATTATAGCAAAAGAAATAATTACTATGACCACAACTGGTCCCTGTGAAATGTCCGGTCTAAGTCCCAAATTCTTCGGTGCTGGCAGCAAGTTTCCATATGTCCCATTGTTCAGGCCCAATTTGTTTATCGAGGACAATTTGAGGAGGAGGAGCAGATGCCATTCCACTGTCAAGCCAGCCAAGAAGTCCTTTGTCATGGTAATGTTTCATTTGTAACCTTCTACATAATGTTTTTTGTTCTTTCCCTAAAGTTTCAGTAGTGTAAACATGGTTTACAGACACAGGGCAGCAATGTCCAAAAGTCTTCTTTTGGAGGCAGGACGAAAGCCCAAGTTTGTCGGCTAATGTCTAAGCATAATTTTGCTGGGCCCATGCACAGTGGAAGGACTTCATAGCCTAAAGAAATGTTAATTAGTTTTCCCTCCTCCCCAGGGTGTGAGGGTTCCAGGGAGGGGGCATATGGGTGGAGTCATTAGTTGATATGACTTTTCTCCCTCTTTTCTCCCTGCATTTTATGACCTGTAATAAAGGGAGGTTGGGTAAGAAAGCCCAGTTAAGTTTGGGAGGCAAGGGCTAGCAGGCTGAGCATTGTCAGGAAAGTGTATTCAGGACTCCAGGCATTCCCTGGTAAGAGACCAAATTTTCAGCTTGATTAGTAAGGGTTTTTATCTGTCCTCAAGAGAGGAGGTCATAGGATTGATGCCGTCAAGGGCAGTGCTTCCTGGAGATCTTTAGAGCCGCCATGGCCCATATTGAAATTTCTTCCTCCTGGGGTTCTTGTTGTTTCATCTTCATTTTGAATGTCGGGGGGCCCCCTTGGGTCAAATCTTTCGGAGAGGAAGCCATGTGAGTTCATTGGATCCATCTGGGGAAATACAAGCATATCCCTTTCCCTGTAAGATTAGTTTCCCAGATTTCCATTGTTTATTGAGCCCGTCTTGACACCAAATGGGCAGAGGAAGAGAAGTGTCCTTCAATTCCTCGAAATGTCTTTCTGCTCTTGTTAAAATATTTCCCTGTGGTAGGTTTAAAAAATTTAAAACAAATAAAGCTGTATTAGCAATAGTTACAGGTTTAGAAAATATGTTGGGATCTAGTAAAGTCTGCTTTAGATAAGGAAGACAGTAGTGTTCCTGTGTATTCCCCCTTCTTTAATTTTTTTTATTTGTAACTTTAGTGATGTGTTCGTTCGACAGTGTCTTGTGTCTGGATTATAAGGAATACCTGTAATATGTTTAATAGAAAAAGATTGTAAAAATTGTTTAAAGTGTCTAGAAAAATAGGCAGGGCCATTGTCTGTTTTAATAGAACTAGGAGTTTATGGTGGAGGTTTCTATTTTTTAATTAAAAAAACTGAATATATAGAGGCAGAGACTGTATTAATGGGGTAAGGATGTAGGCAGATAACTTGAATTCATCTTGTTGAGCAGAATGAAATTTAGTATAAAAGACTTTATATTTTTTAAGAGACCAGAATGAAGCTTTGGTGTTTTTAGTCCCATCTATATAAAAGAAATGTGAGAAATAATAAATTTTTTAGAAAAGCTATTTGGAAATTGGTAGAAGTTTGCAATGTGTTCTCAAATTGAGATTTATCATATATAACTACTAGCAATCTGCTAGTAGAGAAAGGAAATGTCTCAAAATTCAGAGAATAGCACCATGCCCCTCACCCACAACATGTATTTTGAGATAATCTTGGCACCAGGTGAGTTGTCCCAGGTCATAAAATGATTGACATGAATCTTGAAGAAAGGCAGATTACCATACAAATAGTTTTGTTTACATAGATTAGGGGAACAATATCTGAGTATAACATAATGGTTTGTCAAGTAGGTTCTGAGCCATTAGGTGGACTCTGAAGACAGAGTCTGGGGTAAATGTATAGGACATTAACATAGCTTAAGACAAACATTTCCATGAGAAAAACGCATTGGTTAACTCAGGGTTTGAGAATAGTTAACTTCAGGTGAAACCAGGTGTCATGGCAACACAATATTTTAAGAGAAACCTTTTAAATTTGTATAGAGAAGGAAAAAAAAAGAAATATCGCTAGTTTGTTTCCTCCTGCCACTTAAGAGAGAGAAAAATGTCTGACACTTGCCGCCTATTTTCTCCATTTGGAGACTCCTGGCCTTCCTGCCTGTTAAGTCAGACTAG